GTCCGGCAATGGGGAAGGGGATATCGAGACAAGCGCAGGAGTCGGGATGGACCTTTTTGTTTTTCGGGCACTCTGTACAGATGGACAACCGCGCTGTAGCAGCCCTGTAATGAAACTTACAAACCCTGATGGTGTGTCTGGGGACTCCTGTGTACTGTGCCTTCACATCTTTGCTACACAAGACGAGCGGGTTATTATGCAACCTCTATGCACGTGTTTTTTTTTGGTTGGGGATAGGGAAAGAGGGTTTAAAAGAACAAAACCGTATAGTGCGCTTAAAAAAAATCATACCAACAAGACAACACCTTAGCCAGACTATGCACACATCAAATTAACGTTTTATTTAATTACTGTATAAATACATGTAATTCCAGGCTTTCTAATACTGCCCCTTGGCAAATTTCAACAAGTTACCAAGCATCTTAAAATGCTGCCCCTTGGCTCTGTTCTTTTGCATTTCCTGTGCTTAAAAGCCATCATAACCGCCCCACAGAGCATTCCAAAAGAATACTCTTCTTAAGCATGAGCCAAGCAGAAAATAGCATCAGAAATTAGCAATGTTTGTTTTAAAAAGTTTGGCAACGTTCATCACAGATAATTAGTACGTGTTAGGACAAAACAAAAGCAGAAGTAACAGCAAACGCAACAGGAAAGTGAAACTACTTGATTTTTCATAGTGCTTTCCAAGGACAGATGAAACCTTTTATGATCCAGAGAACAGGACCTTAGTGGACAGGAGAATGTTTGCACCATTACAGCAATAACAGCTCACATTGCAAAAAAAAAGTTAAATCGATATAGGACTCATTTTGCTAAAGTTACCAGCTTAAGGGGTAAACATGATCATTTTTACGACTTAAGCCCCTACCCTCTCCCTCTTCTTTTGAAAGGACTGCGAAGAGTTCCAGTGTGCTTAAAAGAAACCTGTCCGAGGCCTGACTATTTCAAGCATTTCCCCTAGCAATCTTCTGATGGGACCAAGCTTTCATCAGCTCCTCGCTTAAAACTCCCAAACCAGTAGGTATAGATAGTATCACCATCCACCCCCCCAGAAAAAAACCTACATCTGGAGAGAGCTTCAGAGCGAGGAGCTGCTCTCTGATGGCCTCTTCGCAGTGCTGTTCGTCCAGGGCAGCAACAGAGCCCCACAGCTGGACCTCTCTGTGTTTACAGAAGACCTCGATCGGAATACTGTGAGACGCCACAAGAGACGCTTTGCGCTTCTACTGTATTTTCACAACTTCCTTACAACACGCTGAGGTAGACTGTGCTGAGACAGAAACTAAAAATTCATCGCACGACCTCCCCCTCTCTCCATCGCTCCTCCTTACTTTATAAAAAAATGCACATGCTTTATACCTTTTTAAAACTTTTTTCTAGTTTTTTTTATATTTTAATATAATGCAAACTGGGTTTGTACAGTGATTTCTATCGTATTAAAATAAATAAAATATTAATTTCTGTCTTTCCAAATATAAGACAATCCTCTGAATTACAAAATCGTGAGAACTTTCTTTTTAAATTTTTTGTGTTGTAGTGTAAGAAGAGCTGCAAGGGTGTTTCTTTAGAGTGAAAAGCTTTTTTCTTCTTAATCTTTTGAACTAAAACTAGGCACCATACACGATAAAATTATCATTACACATTATTTACAAAGCCATAGAACAAAAAAAATGAATTGTGTATTACCTCTGTACCTGTGGCCCTGAAACTTGCTCTGTCCACAAAGTGCAGTAGACATGATCTTTTGCTTCCAAAATAATGACAATTTGTTTCTTAAAAAAGAAAAAGTAGCCAGTTCAGAAATTTATTAAACCATAGCTCTCACACACTGAAGTCAGGCTTGCTTGTCAGGGAACAGTGCCTCAAAAGAAAAAGACTACTTTTCTCACATCACTTCCATCTCTTATTGTTCGGACAGCTGCAAGAACACTTGAGGTTCTCTGATGAGAAACTAGGCTCAGCTTTCTCAAACACTGTATTGGAGACATCGACGTAGTAAGCCTCCAATTTGAGCAAATCGGTGAATTCTTTTGTGAAAGAGCTCCCAACCACATTGCACTTGAGGTATGGTTCAATAAATCAGCCTGGCAAATGGCTTGTTACATTAAAGGTTTCTCTCGATATCCCTCTGTGGACAGGTAGCTAAAATTTGCAAGCCATATCTGCAAATTCATCAAGCCAATGTTGCAGTATCAACCTTACGATAGGACACAAACACAACCCAGGTACAGTATTTCCAATCTGTGCTTTGCATGGTGCAAAAGAGGAATTTCTTTACTATCACACCCCTCCATGTACCCATCCCCAGCTGGTGAAATTTCACTTGTGAGCAGTTGACATTACAACTCCCTCCTGGATATCGAGAAAAGTCCTCTATTACAGATGAAAGGTATCACAATACATTTTTCAAAGCTCTTTGCAGGAAGGATGTTTACCTCAAAGACAGATTAACCCAAATCTAGTAGGAGGCATAAACCCACTCAATTAATATATATATATAAATAAGATACGTTTACATAAATGTCTCTTTTAAACACAAAAAAGAAAGAAAAGCTTGCAGTCGGTACATCCCTCAATAGTTGAAGAGCCCCTTAACATGAGAAAGGCACAATTCAGAGGCTGCTGTATTTACACACTTCCCAAGAAAAATACACTGTGTCAATCAAGTCTGCTGCGCAATGCCAACATCGCTGCAAACAAAACAAAACAAAAAAAAAGATGGCTCAAATTGCTGATTAACGAAAATTACATTCAATTCCCCTTAGCTCCTGTGCATTTCCCTCTAAGCCTGTCCCTTCTTCATGGTGAAACTTAGTGATGGACAGATACTGCCCTCCAGAAAAGTAAAGCTTATGATTAAATAAAAATGTACTCTGTTGCCTTGTTGGAACACCTGCGGTTTTCAGTGGAAATCCTAAATGGCAATTTTGTTTGCAAAGATTGGATCACCAGATACAGTATTTGTAGCCACATTACGGACTTACAGTATGCTTTTTACATGCTTACGTGTCGATCAAGTCACAGTTCCCAGACAAATCATCTGCATTTGGTAAAAATTCAAAGGAATGTCTTTCTGTCTGTAAAGGTCTATAGGAACATGCCTGAATGTGCCTATGGCTCAGCTTTTGTTCCTTGCTCCAGATTAATTTCTACAGGTTTCCTACAGATTTCCACAGAAAAACACAGGCTTCTAAAGGAAAACAGCAAAGATGCGACAGGTGGGTCCTTTTCTCTTCTGCAAGAGGGAGACTGTACATAGCCTGGCATGCACCCTGTCACTGTTGTGTTGTTCGAATGACATTTCAAATGTCATTCCTTTGTTTCTGTGAGCACCAAAGCCTTAATCGGAGGCCGACAATACGCGGGCGTCGTGAAATGTGGGCCGAGAGAGAAACGGGAAGAGAAAGAAAGTGCAGGTTAGCAAGAGAGCGACAAACATTTTGAACCTGAGGTATGTAGTGTAACTGTGTTTCGATATTTCTTTCAGCGGCTCCCCGAGAGAGCGAGAAGCAGGAGCAAACCAGTGGCGCCATCTGACGAGAGGTACAAAAAAAATAATCTGGCATTTCGGAACCGGCGGGGACAGACCTGACAGGGAATTAACCAGGCAGACAGACACAAACTGGCAGAAAGAGGAGGAAAATGAACAGAGTCCAGACGGTTCAAACTCAATCACATTTGCAGCAGGTGAGAAAGTGGGAGGGGGAGGGGGCAATTCTACATTTTTTCCTGCCCTCCTGTCTGACCAGTGTAGTGTAGCAGCAGTGAGAAGGAGAGAGCAAGTGGAACACAGACAAACGCAAAGTCCTGGAATGTCAGACCTCAGAAAAAGTGCTGCACCCTCCCACCTGCCCTGATCCTGTGGGGGGGGGGGTCAGGTGATACAGCAGGCACTGACAGAGCTCCCCGCAACACAGCGGTCTCATGTCAGCCCATCTGCCCCAACATAAGGTCTCACAACCCTCTGTAAGCCTCCAGGTCAGCAGGAGCTTCTTAAACACCTAACACCCCATCCCGCCCCCTGTGAGCTGCATGCACAGACCAAGCAATGAGCAGCTTTTTGAGGGATTGGCCAGGAAAAAGACCCCTCCTCCCCCAGTGGCTGACAATCATCAACATTTCAGGGTGGAAATGTGTCTTGTCCTTGTCAGGGGTGATCCAAAGAAATGAGGAGACACAAAAAGGCACCATCATTGCCTACCTCAATGTGAGCGATACAGCTTAAACCTGATCACCGAGAGCCTGGGATGCTACAGAACAGTTTGAACTGAGCTCTAAGAGGGCAATAGGGCTCTCTAAGTGGGTGTAGCACTTTCTCCAACATCTGTAAAAACAGCGGTCAACGATAACGAGGTACTGACGGCGCCTCGGTCAAATTATTAGTGAAGTGCTACAGGAGCTGAGCTTTTCACAGGAACACAACCCCGTACTTCCTCACCAAACTGTCCGACGAGAGCTTAGCCAGTCAACTGGAGCTTGCAAGTAAAAAAGGCCATGGGCTGCCTAACTGGATATCTCAACGTTAAGACCAAATAAAATCTCAATCTCATGCACTGCTGTGTAAAACATGAAAAACAACTTGCCCTGTAGCTACTTAATGGGATAAGCACGTCTAACTGCTCTTAATGCAACGCTAGCCAGCACCAGTGCAGGTTCATCACTAGTTAAAAAGCAAAACAGCCCAATTTGTTCGTTTTCAAGACTTTGAAGTAAATAGTCCATGCAGACTAACAGAGGGAATTCCAGAACAGCAGTGTGATTCTGTGCAGGAAAACGAGCTCGCCGGTGAACTCTCTGTGAAGGGGGCTCCGGTTTTAGCTGAAAGTGAAGATTTTATTTGGTCTTAAACAAAAACATGTGCTCTGGAAGCTAAGGAGCAGCCCAAGAACCCAACACATGCTGACCCTGTGCACAGGCTTGGAAACAGACGGTAATCTGCAGGCGTCCAAGGTTCAAAGAATAATTAGTGTGACTTCTGAATTGGGAACAATACAAAGAGAGAGAGAAATGTAAAAACACCTCTAAGATCAGCAAAGCCTCTGTGATAAAAACACCAAAATATCAACTATGTACAAAAAAACAATATATATATGATCTTCTATACCCACAAAAAATATATATCAAAGCAGCAGCTATTGGTCAATCCGAGGAACTCTTTTGTCCATTCTTTAAAAAAAAAAAAACTTTTAAATATCCTTCAGCCGTAACGCGAGAAAAACACAAATGAAATGGAAAAGAAAAAAAACTGAAAAAACATCAACGATTCAAGGGCTCTGAGTGAAGTTTGGAATTCTGCATAAAAATATAACAGGACAAACAGGCCAACAAAAAAGTTCCTCAAAAAGTAGATGATATTTGTTCTAAGAGACAGTTTATGCCATCCCACAGTTCCAAATTGTTTTGTCATTGTTTTAAAGGAAATGAACACAAGTATTTATAGACACTTCTGTTTGTAGGGCACAGATATCAAGGCCACTTCCTCTGAAAAACGCAAACCTCGAGCTGTAAGCGAAAGGACAAGCAGGCCGAGGAGGTTATGCTCAAGCAGCCTTTCGCTAACTGGTTGGTTGAGCTTACTCTGCTCAAAGTTAATTCCACTGACCAGTCTGGAAACTTGGCAATTGTGGGGGAAAAAAAAAAAAAACGCATGAAGAAAGAAGTCGAGAAGGTGACGCGGATGATTAAAAGGTAGAACGTATGGTGTCATCGTGCTGTAGTAGCTAAGAGAGGGAGAGAAAAAAAAATGAAAAAAGTCCTGAGATCTGTTGTAGGGCCTCTGTAAAACAATAATGATAAAATAATTATAAATGAGTAAAACTTGAAGAGGAAATGTTAGGAAGGGCTGGATCTGGGTAAGGATAAGATACGGCCATTTTTCTTGCCACCGTTCATGTGTGTGTAGGGCACGTGCTCCTCGTAGTTGCCCCTCAGACCCATCGACGGCCCATTGTCCCTGCCGAGGCTCTCCTCTCTCTGGGAGTAAGAGGAGGGATCCAAGGGGATGCTCTCCATGTTCTCGAAGTCCATGTCGAACTCCTCGGTCTCGGGAGGCTTGTTCTCCTCGCTGTAGAAGAAGGACACCTCCTGGAAACTGGGGTGAAGGTCGTCCTTCAGCATCTCGATGATCTCGTGGAACGTGGGCCGCATCTTGGGGTTGTACTGCCAGCACATCTGCATCAGGTTGTGTCTGCAGGGCAGAGCCGTGCGAGAAAGGGCAGAGGAAAGTGAGCATGCATCTCCCAGGTCTCTTTCGGCTTTTTTCAAACAGGCTGCATTTTGTTCAAATCGATGAAACGGCAAGCTCTGATTTGAGAGTAAAGCCACAGCAGTTTGATGATGAAGGAATGCAGGAAAGCAGAAGTCGAAATTTTGTGGAAGAGAGCAAGGAGACAGACCACACAGAGATTTGCAGAAGGAATATCTTCTAACATCCTTCAGCTGTGGTATACTGCTGCAGAATGGACATGCTTATTTTAACAAAGGCTCATGCGCAGCATAGAGCAACCAAGCTTAAAGGGTAAACATGTAAAGACCGTATTTCCCCCAGAGACTGACCATCCTATCAGAAAAGAAGTGCTTTAAATTAAAAAAGTAAAGCACTTTTCTGATCGCTCCGTTGAGTGCTAAAAGGCCGTTAATTTTCTCCTTACCAATCATTTCTCCTTTTGAATCTCCCAATAAAACATTGATGAGAAAGAAACAGAATCAATAATGAAATGCACTCACAGTCTTTCTGCGCAGTTGTCTGGTCGGTCCAGATACCCTCCATCCATGACGAATTTGAGGACCTGCTCGTTCGACAGCCCCTGGTAGGGCTGCTCAGCCAGGGTGCTGATCTCCCACAGCACCACACCAAACGACCTGGAACAGGCAACACACAGGTGGTGAGGAGTAGTGCTCCTAGCTTTGCTAATAGCTCCGGCACGCATGCAAATCCCCTCTTAAAACAGATGGACATTCGCCGACTCTGACAAAGAATTACCATGTGGAGTAAAACTGAAATAGGCATGTAGGAAAAGCCGAGTGCTATTACAAAGGAATCCTCAATTTATGGGTGGGGTCTATCAGATTTTCTCTTCTTCCAGTGGTGCATATGCCAGCCTTCTGCAAAGTCATCTGCCTGAACGGAGCTGTGGATGCAGGTCCGGCCAAGCCCTCTAAACCCGATGCCTGGTGGCAGCCCAGGCTGTGCATTTTAACAAGGCAGGGGGTGACCTGTGAGAATGATGGAGAGACACCGACATCCGCGCCCCCACCTCCACGCTCTGGAAGGGAGGGAAGACTCACCAGCAGTCCGAATGAGCTGTGAAGACCCCGTCCTTCAGGGACTCAGGAGCCATCCACCTGACTGGGAGCAAGCCCTTCCCACCTTTACGGTAATAATCCGTTTCATAGATGTCCCGCGTCATGCCGAAGTCTGAAACATTCAGAAAACAAAAGAATGCAGAGCTGCATTGGGTTGCTGGTCATACTTAGCAGTAAGAGAGTAAGGTTTGGACAGGCAGTATCAGTGGGAGCCAGAAAGGAGTTACCAGAAAGAATGCAATCGTTGTGTACGGGATCTGCTATATCCATGCGGCTTGTCTTTTTTTTATTTCAAGACAAAGAAAGGATTCAGCTCAAATGATGGATCCAGTCCAATTTATCTTGCATAACCCTTACAACAGGTTCAATGTGCAACATATTAAGAGTGCTGTCTCAGTTGCAATGTATCTGTGTTTTTCCAGGAGTCTACTGTTCCCAGTAGGCAGACATCACCGAGGCAGTCCCCTCATCATCAGAGGGCATTCAGAGTGTTTGCAGACGAGGCCATTCGACAGTACCTCCAATTTTCACAGTGAAGTCCTCTGCCACCATGCAGTTTCTTGCTGCTAGGTCCCTGTGCACGAACTTCTTGGCATTCAGGTATGCCATGCCATCCGCAATTTCTGCTGCCATCTGAATCATCTCCTTCAGAGTGGGCGGAGGGCGGCCAGGGTTATTCTGCACAGACAAGAATAGAGATCCAAAATCAAAATTGTTTTTTTGCTCTGAAGGACAGACGCGCCGATAATTTCAACCAAGCCAGGACACAAGGCCACAGCAGGACTGTGGCCTGCACAGCTGAAGACCTTGCTTTCGCAGATCTACACTAAATCCAAAAGTTAACCAGGAAAAATGCTTCAGGACTGACATTTCAAACAAGGACCTGAGGACACGAGTGGACAACGAGGGTGTGAACTTAGGACCGATAGCATTGCACAAAGGAATGTGAACGTCTGGGAAAGGAAAGCCACGCTTTCAACACAGATTCCACTGGTTCCTTCAAGAAAGAGCTGAATGAGAAAACTGAGAAAATAAAAGAATGCACAGCTGCATTGGATTGCTTGACACAAGCTCTGAACAGTAAGAGAGTCAGGAGCGACAGTCAGAGGAAGCCAGACAGGAATTACTAGGAAGGATGAATGCATCAATGAGATAATTGGATTAATGAGCTACTGGCAACAAAATGAGCAGGATGGCCAGAACAGCCTGCTCTCACCGGCACCCTGTCTTGCAATCTCGTGTTCTGTTTTTCTCAAGAGACGCCAGTCTTTTCTGTAGAGCCACACACTACACAGAACCCCTGCTGTAAAGCAGGTGTCGGTCATACCTCAGCATCAGGCCGCAGGGAGCGCAGGTAGCTCTTCAGATCTCCGTGGGTCATCAACTCCATCACCACCAGCGTTGGCTGCCCCTTGGACACCACTCCCAGCAGACGTACCTACAGCGGCAGAGAGCCCATTACCACCCCCGAAGGTTCTCCTCTTACCCACCCGTCTCCCTCTTCGCTGTTTAGAGCCTTAGTGAAGGAAAGGGTTCTTCCAACAAACTGTCTTTAAAGTGCCAAAATCCCACAGCAACAGGCTCTGAAATCAACAGAGACACCCGCGCTTCTCTGACAACCCTTTGTTCTGTCTGGCATACGTTTGTATCAGAAGTTGCAACTATATATTACCATCATAATAAGGGAAGCACTATTACTTTCAATTAACTAAAATTAAGGATGCTTTTGGGAAGGCTGTGCACATAAATTAAAGTTGGAGAGATTTTATATTTTCATTAATTATGGTAAACTGTGTCCTACAGGTAAGGCTAAAGCTAAGCCTTAACTTACTTTCTCTGGTATATTTTAAATGTTAAGAAAATGGTAAGGCATTGACATTAATTTAACACACAATTACTTAAGAATATAATATTAACTTATGATAAAAAGAAGCGTTGCCTATTAAATAGCTTATCAAACAGCTGCCAGAAGAAAGAAAGGCAAAGTGCCTGCTTCCTGCTCTTACCACGTGGTGGCAGCTGAAGGACTTCATGACCGAGGCCTCGTTGAGGAACTCGATGCGCTCCCGCAGGCTGGCCGACTCGTTAACCGTCTTCACCGCCACCCTGGTCTCAGGCTCCCCCTTCACGATCTCCTTGGCGATGCCCTCGTACACCATCCCGAAGGAGCCCTGGCCCAGCTCTCGGAGAACGTCGATCTTCTCCCGCGGGACCTCCCACTCGTCCGGCACGTACACTGCAAGCAACGGGAGACGCGCACGCCGTTTCAGCCGGGCCCCACAATCCCCCAGGGGTCGCACAGCCGAATCGCGCAATGCAAAAACAGAGGCCATTTCAGAGCCAGTGTCTGGGCTTGTCACAATGAAGATGTGCCAACACTTGTCAATTTTCTCGGCATGGCGTCAAATTACATGGAAAACCTGAAAGCACTGAATGATAACAACCCTGTTTAGAATTCAGCTCTATTTATAGGCCATCAATTCTCTACCACAGCCTTTTTCAAACAGGAAAAGAACAGTGAAGAACCTCAATTCATGACAACGGGTGGCCTTACCGTCGTTGGCACTCAGATATTCTGGGTTGGAGGAAGCGTAGAGAGGTCCAGTGGGTCCCTCAGTTTGTCTGGAACAGGAAAAGCAACATTCTGTCAGGTCCAGCCGCTACTGCAGCTCCTCGTCCCAAACGAGGTGGGAAAAGGAAAGAATAGGGCTCGAGCCTTCTCCATGTAAAGGTGTCTCCAGTTCAACCAAACTCTGCCCGCCCCACTGTCTGGCTTGCTACCGCCAAAAAGCAGGCAAACACACCCCAGTCTCCAGTCAGATTAGTATGTCAGTGGAAATAGAATTAACTCTGCATCCCTCCTTTTTCATTGATTACTGATACACTGCTGTGTGCAGAGCTCTGTTTTGTGGATGTGAGAGGACAGCCACCTTGGACAGCTGTGATCAATCCAAAAGATCACCAGCACCCAGAACAAAAGGGCTTCAGGTTCTGAAGCACATGGGGACTGCAGTCTGTCTGCATGATGTTCAAAACCAAAGACAATCTACCAGGAAATGGTCCTGCGTAGAGGCAATCCATGTGCTTGGAACCCACAAAACAGAGTGCTGCACACAGCAGTGGATCAGTTATTAATGCAACACCAGGGCTGCAAAGTTAATCACATTTCCCCTGACACACCAATCTGACTGAAGTCTGGGATGGGGAAGGATGTGAGAAGGGGCTCCCCACTGATGGTGGTGGGGTACACATAACTGCACGTTGAGAGTCTGAATTGCTACAAAGCAAAGACTTTCCTAGTACAGATCCAAATTCATCCTTCCCTGCCCCCCCATTTAAAAAGGTTTTAAAATGGGATTTTTGGGCAACCCTGCTCATCACTGACATATGAAAACCGAAGGAAACTTATGCGACAGGACCGGGTGATCTCGCCTCCCCCTTGCCCTTCAACATTCTGCAGCTCCTTTGGCTACTACCCACAATTCTAGACAAGCCCTGCAAATGAGAAGAGGTCTGAAAGCACTCACTTCTTCCTCACCACCATGAAGACCGCGCCAGCCACAACAAGAATGAGGACAATGCAGATCACAGAGCCGATGGCAATCTTCATAACGCTGGATGGATCTCCTGGGAACAGGTGTAAGCCAGGAATCATGAAACCACAAAACACTCACAAGTGACAGAGCCCCTCTCAAAGAAGCTATCTTAAACCTGGGGAACTGCAGTTGACCGTGGAAGAGGTGAAAGACACAGGAAGGGAGTGTTCGGGAAAATCGTCAAGGTAATACTCCTAATTTAGAACTGTTTTTCAAGGCAGTGCTTCCATATTTTTTTTCCTGAACCATAAATATCTGGTTGCTCTCAAAGAAATAGTTCAACACAAGACTCACTGGGGTCCTGAACGTAGAAATACGTCGGCTCTGTCCATGACCCATTCCCTGCCAGAGACGTGGCACGAATCCGGACAGAGTAGTTCCCAGGGTGCAGAACTCTCAGTTTACAGCCTTGATCAACAGAATAGCTTTTCCTGGACACGCAGTGATGCAACTCCTGGAAATGGAATTGGGAGAAGTGTTTAATCCACATTGATTAAGCTCTATCTTTACCAGAGATTCAAGTGGTAACGCTATATTATGGGTAACTCATAATTATCTGATTAGAAATAGAAGAAGATAAATACAGTCGTCTAGGGTCCCTTATGATTTCACCTCTAGGTTTTGTCAAAAAAAATATGAACGAGCAATTTCCAAAAGAGGCTGAATTGTATCACATCAATACTGTAATTTGAGAACCTCGATAAAGATCCACAAATAACGTATATTATATAATGCTTGAAATAAGATCAGAAAAAACAACACATTCTGGAATTTCATGCATTTAAAAAAGCTAGCCAGCCTGATGAGACAGTCTGGTTCACAGGAATCTTATCACACAACCTCACATATTCAGCTGTTTTGTTTCCAGAGGCATGACTATAACTCTCCAGAATAATCATCTATTTTCAACTGGGGTGTAATATACTTAATCCAAGCATACTTCTAAGTTTCAAGCAATTAAAACTTCTCACCACTGAAACAGAAACAAAAGTACACGTTGTCAGACAAAATCGTCACCATGACACTTGAACTACCACATGGATCAGAGGACTAGAGACAAAGTTGTATGTATACAGGTGTGAGAGACAGACCTCACCCTCCCAGGTTCGCTCTGTTCAAGCGGGAAGACAATTAATCACTAGGCCCTCCTAGAGACCTGGAAAGATATACACACACCTGTGCCAGGGCACGCTTACCTCTGAGTCTCCCAGCCTCTTGTAGTTGACCTCATACAGTATGATCATGCCATTGGGGGACTTGGGCTCCTGCCACCTGATGTGAACAGTGTTCGTCAACACTTCGTGAGTCACTTGGCCCACAATATCATCAGCCTTGTCTGTGGGACAACGAGACGCAAAGCTGCTCAGGAAGAGGAATTGGCTGCAGGCAAGAAAACCTGCACAATGTCCGCGAGATGCACGCTGCCTGGGTTAAGTCAGAAATGAGTCTCAAAAGCACGACAGCTGGTTTAAAAACAAAAGTGCTAAAACCGACTGCGATTCAAAGACAAAATATTCTGATAGATGTAGCATTTGTAACTTGTTTTCTCTTGAGGCTGTGCTGGAGTGCTCTTCGATGGCCTGTCCTGAAACAACCCTGGGTTAACTGCTGAGTTATACTGTATGTCATACAAACTAATAATGCTGTCCATTTCTGAACATGATTCACACGGAATAAGGATAGAAGCGATGTGCTCTTTTCCTTGAAAGAACAGACCCCTGTCAGAGAATCTTAGAATGATTTATTGTTAGGACAGCACAACTCTTAAGTACGCTGAAGTGTTTTTGAGCGAGACGGAAATGGCGTGGCCTGTGTTATTTGTAAAAAAAAAAGAATTCCGATCGCAACACGACGACGGTCAGTGTCAGTGGGAACGCTGAGGGAGGAGGGAGGAGAGAATGGCGCAAGGTCGGTACCCTCTGGCATGGTGCGGGCACTGACGTAGGCTGCCATGCTGCAGCGGGAGGGATCAGTGGGGTGGTTGCAGGCGTGGATCTCGATCTGGTAGCTGGTGAAGTGGCGCAGGCTGGAGATCACGGCGGACTCCTTGGCGTGGACGGTCAGGACCACCTTGGCGCCCTCCTCTTCCTCGGGCCCGCGGGTCGTGGAGGCGTTGGGGAGGGTAGACGGCGTGGTGAAGAACCGCTGGATGGTGCTGTTGGCCACGGCGCCCAGCGACCTCCTGCGCCTGGAGGGCCTGGGCCAACAGACAAAACAGAGGGAGTGAGAAAGGAGGGTGAGGGGGGCGCAGAAAGACGTCCGACTGCCCCAGCCGCCCGAGGCTACGACCCTTGTAATCCCTGAACCCTGGCCTGGGGACCCACACACCTGAGCTCCTGCATAAATAACTGAACCCTTGATAGCCCAAATCGCAGGCCTAATCTGAGCTCCATTTTCAGTACTTAAACACTCAGGGGGCGTCCTTGTAACTACGGTGCTTAGGTAAAGCCGATCTCCATCCTCTGAGAAGAAAAAAACCCTGCCTAACCAAGCAACCTGCTGCTTTGATGAGAGACACATTGACCTGACACATTTCAGTGCGCTCTGCTGCAATAAAAAACCAGCAGGTGTGTGGTTCCCAGGCACCGGCACTGAGAACCTCTTGCTTCAGCTTTTTTTTATCACGAGGTTGGGTGCATCTTCATTTCATCGGTGAACATTTCCATTCAGGTTACAAGCAAAGATTACACCAAAATTAACCCCCCAAGACCAGCATTAATAGCTGACATATGGAACAAAGAATAACATGTTTCAATGCAATTTCTCTAAGACTAAGCGGAAGACAATGGACCAGCGCAGGGGAAAAAACACAGAACAGAGACTTGTTACAACGTTACCATCAAAACACTGTTCTGCCTTTCCTGCACTTTCCAGCTGAGTTCCAGAAGAGCTAAATAAAATTACATGGCAAGGCATAAGGATGTCATGGCTATGTATGCAACAGTTTCTGAAAGATTATCAAACTGCTTGGAGACTTACGCGTAAGCCAAATGATTCCAAAAACAAAAATGACAGGTATCCAAAAGGTAACAAAATCTTTTGTCGATTCATAAACAGCTCTTGCATATATATCAGGGGGAGAGCCCTTATTCTAAAGCAAATGCAAATGGATATTAATAAATAAGGAAGAAGGGCTCAAACAGCACCAGAGGGCCTGGTTCTCCGAGAAACCATGTGTGGGAACGTCTCTTCGCCACTAGATGGCACCCACGTCTATTCCAGGGAGTATCTGTTTTTTCATTCTCATGTGGAATGGATATGAGATACGGAATCCAGCACCGACAAGGAAAATGACAGCACTGGGCAAAGGTTTTTCCATGATAAAATCTCAGTCCGTAAGTATGCAGGGAAATCTATAACAGCCCATAAGCCACAAAGATAAAGGCCTAATCAAAAGTGAAAAAACAGTCCACCTCAAAAAGCTGGTCTAGATCCTGAAATTACAGAGGTTCAGTTTAAATGAGGCAAGACCTCAGACTCTTCAGTCTCCGAAACACATGGGGAAATGGATACATGGAAACAGTGGCTTCAACCCTAAAGCACATGAAATAGGTCAGAAGATCAATTAGCTGGATGTTTCTGGCACTGATCACTCGTCCCAGGTGGGATCTATGTTCAAGGGTTGCTGAACACCGCCTACCTATTTATTACTTAAACCCTGTAAACAGTGCTGCAGGTATTGAAAAGTGAAAGTCACTGCATTTCCATCCATTCTTAAAAAAAGTCACTCGTCCTCGGCAGGGGCTGCTGAAACCCAGAGCCCACCACAGCAGCATACCCTGGTCGTGATGCCGGTCCATGTCACAGGGCCTGTGTATGGATTCACACTCAGATGCGACTACACCCTGGACAGGCTGCTAGTCCATCACGGCACAGCTGACCCCAGTGAACCTTATCTGCGGGTCTTTTGTAAGGCAGGAGGTAGCGGAAGGACCTGATAAAGACCCACCAACAAACAAAAACACTTTGCACAAAGGGGTGCCCCAGGTTCGCAAAAACTCGAGACCCAAGAGCTGCGCGGCAGCTTCACCAATCACTATGCCTTCATTGCACCCGCTGAACTTCCAAGTGTAAGACAACAAAACCACGAAAAACCCTTTGTGACCCTTCCACAGAGACTGAAGTGTGCTAGGGATTTCTATGAAAGAGGTTGAGAAAAAACTGGCGCCAACATTCGGCACAAATTTTGCCTCTTCTCGCTGGATGATCTAGTCATCACCTCTGCCACAAGGTTAAACCCCCGCAGGGTCCTGGTCTGCAGGGCTGCTGTCCGGATGACAGACACACAGACTGGCATTAGCAAGAATGATCACAGCCAACTGGCCCCATGGGTACAGTTATGGGAAGAAAGGCCTGCATTTCACACACCAACGACACTACCCTGGCAGGCCCGACATGTGGGAACCTCACGCCAGTGGGTGCCAGCAAAGACTGATAATCAGGCATACCATCCCACAAGACCACATGGCCAACAACAGTGTTTCCCCACATTAACAACTGCCAAAGACTGGGAAGCTAAAACAAAGGCAGTTCACATAATGCTAAAGCACAATAAAACAACTGCATGTCATTTTACAAATTAAGGTTTTTTTTTTTTGCAATGACAAAAGTAGCAACTCACATTTGACAAGGTAAGCACATTTTTGATTGAGATCATATTTTACCATGACTTGCTTCAACACCTAAAACCTTTCTTTCCCCTTTTTCTTAAACTCAGGGGTAAAGGTCTTAGCTCTGTCACTGTTCCACAAGCTCTGTGTCCTGTATCATCTGTGGAGACATCTTCCACGTATTGTTGGGACACTGTGTAGCTATTAGTGCCATGAGCAAAGAGGCTTCCATATAGCTTTCTTATTATAGAATCATTAAAGCTTTTGAGAATCAGCTGCTTGAAAAAGAAAGGATGCTGAAGCAAATCTCCAAATTAAGGCACCAAATTACAGAGGTCATCAGAGCTTTTATTTTTGCCGGCAGGGCGAGAAGAGTGCTGTCTCTGCCCAACGCCGTGCTTACCGATCCTCGTTCGTCTCCAGCCCTGCAGAAGATGTTCTGTGAAAACAAGAAACCAGCCGCATTCAGGGCACCTGTTTCTCCCACCTCTATCCAAGCCCGACCGAGATACTCCACCGACTTGAAGACCAGCCCTGAATACATGCGTTCGCCTCTGCACTGGGTGTCAAGTAAACCCTACCTGATGATAACGTGCAGTGGGGAGAGGCGGGGAACAGGGCTGAATAAAGTCTTGTAACCTCAGCTTGGAGGGCCTCTCTTTTAAGGGGGATGATACCCAGGAGATCAGATAATTCCTGCTCTTACTGGACTGCAAGGTCTGGCTGTCTCCACTCAAAAGGATCACATGCTGTTAACTGTCATTGGACTTGTTTTTAAAAGGGAAAAAACACTACAGAAGAATTTGCACTGCCTGATGGCATCTACATGCACAAACACATGAACAGCCTGGAATGACCTTCATCTGATCAGACTGCGGTTGTGCAGAGAACTCTCTCGGAGTTTATGTTTCTTTAACCCTTTTTCCCCTCCATGTTGTACACGCAGGATTGACTGATCCTATTGCTGAATTGATTTTAGAAATAAAATAATATCACTTTATTAGCCCTATGCCATTTCTTGCATTAGGAATCGTCTTTTCACATACCCCAGCTTTCTCTCCAAGAAAAAAAAAAAAACAAAAGAAGCCTGGGGTCAGAGCGCAGGGTCAGCTATTGTACAGTGCCCCTGGAGCAGTTGGGATTAAGGGCCTTGCTCAGGGGCCCAACAGAGTAGGATTCCTCTGCTGGCTGCGGGATTTGAACCGGCAACCTTCCACACTCCGCCCCATGAAATAATGTGAAACAGGACCAGAAATTTTTAACAGGATGTTTCTCTCACTGGATGCGTCTTGTATGCAGGAGATGTAGGTGAAATTTCTGGACAGGACCTGCTGACAGGCCAGGGATAGAGATGGGGTGGCAGCAGTTATCAGCAACCTTTTGCAGATGTTTTGGGAAAAACTCCAGAGCTACCCTCCAATTGAAAAGAAAATCCTTCTTTTTTTAAATTCTCAAAAACCCTTTTGTCAGGTTGGCTGGGCTGGTTTTCGAGGTTAAATATAAACGGAAGATTTTAACAATGAAATCGGAGGATTTGAGGAGAAAAACAAAACAAGAAAGAAGAACGACTTGAAATGTGAAATCCCAACGCGCAATCTTAGGTTTTGACTATCGAGGCCTGCTCTCTGCCGGGTGACTGAACACACACTGGGATAAAATTAGGACCAGGAGTGACAAGGGGACAGAGGCATCTGAAGAGCCGAGAGTGACAGCAGGCACATGCTCATGGGGAGGTACCTGATCTCGAAGACCTCATTGTGGAGGTAGTTCTCGAAGGTCTTCCTGTACTCCGACTCCTCTGCCTCACGCTTCAGCTGCGTCTCGGTTTTGGGGCAGGAACAGCACCGGCCCGACTGGCCCGGCTCGTCGGTCTGGTTCCACTTCTGCGCCTCTTCTGTGTCCTGGTGTGTGGGGGCCCTGGAGGGTAGCTTCATCCCTGGTGAGAGAAGGAAAGTTTTAAAAATCAGACCGAAATCAACCCAAAAAGCATGGACATCCGTACCTGTCCGAATTGTTAAAAGGTTGAAGATAATTCCCTTGGATCCACCCAGAAACAGCTGATTTGGATCAATAATCCACCAGCAATCAAAACTAGCAAACTGGGCCTAGTTCTTCTTCTCAACCTCTCCCACGTTCTCCCATGTTCGTAGATGGACAGAATGTAGAACACAGCGGTGTCATGTCCATGCATAAGCAAGGACCTCCAAAGATGTATTCCACTGGCCTCTGCTTATCCATTTTACTAGTGATCTGACAACACAAAAAACAACTTCTAGGCAACCAACATGAAGACGCTGGCTCAGGCCTGGTCCGGGTGCATCACCTTCCAGCTATTCTTACAGATCACTGAAATCACCCGTTACTCAAAGAATAGGAAAATGTTTCATCAATTGATCAACTAAGCAAGTCACGTTACAATAAAGGGAACAACCTGCTCCTGTCTAATCTGTCTAAATTTCCCACTGGCTGTTACCAATCGTGGCCTCCTAATAATCCCCATCTCTGAACTGGCTTCATCACTCTGCTCTCCTCCCCACTGAGAGCTGGTGTGTGGGGAGCGGACTGGCGCATCATCCAGGTGGGGCTGCACACTGGTGGTGGTGGAGGGGAGTCCCCATTACCTGTAAAGTGCTTTGAGCGGGGTGTTCAGAAAAGTACTAGATAAGTGCAAAGAATGATTCATTATTATCAATCTACACACCACATGGGCCCTAGTGAACATTAATCTGGTACTTTTATCCTAGTGCCAAGTAACTCATGTAATCCACAGTCAAGATATGGGTGAGCACCTTGCACGAACACTGTAAAATGAGCTCACTGCAACACAACCAGGCTCCGGTCAATCCCGCCGATCTCATCTGACTCCATGATCGGGAGTCAGAGGCATAAAGGCGCCTCTCCCAAGTCCTGCACCTGGCTCCCGGGCGACGGCTCGCGCCAGCAATGGAAAACGGACAAAGCAAAGGGAGCTGTAGGCAGCAGTGAAGGAACTTTTCATTCCTGTGCTGCAGGGCAACCTTGCTATCTCCACAACGTTCCACAAAGGACGCAATGCAGCGAGCGACCCTGGCTAAGCAGGATCACTTGAGAAGAGGCAAATCAGCTTCAGTCTTTCCACGACATCTGTCACCGCCGGCTCGGGCGACATTTTTTTTTTTGAGGGGCCCGTTTTTAGACTTGCTTTACAAAGTCCGTGAGGTAAAAGCCTTTCTCCCCCTACCTTTCTGGCAGTAGTCGAACTTGTAGAGATCGCTGGCCTCGGGCTGCTGCTGACAGAAGACCAGGTAGTGGGTGATGTTGCCGTTGGCGTCTGTGGGGGGCTTCCACTTCAGCATGATCTGAGAGGAAGAGTTGGAGGACGAGATGGGATCCAGTGGGACCGAGGGCTCTGGAATGCGCCAAAAACAAACAAAAGAGAAGTATTGGTATTGGCCTGGTCCCAGTTCTCAGAGCTCAAGACTGAGATTAGGCAAACAGCTCATCTGGTGTGAAGGGGTACCCTGAACCCACAGTGCGTTACCCTGTTCAGAACCGACGTAATCACATGAGGACTTGCAATCTCGATGGCATGTCTTGTCAGACAGGGATTTGGATAAGTCCATCAATAATGACAACCTCTTAAACAAAGCTGCAATGCGTCTTGCACACATGATGAACCACAACGTCAACTCCAGGCCTACTGGTGCACTACTTTCTTGTTTTTCTGTTCTGCACCATGATGCCCTATAAGAGCGTGATGTGAACTCGTCTCAGCTGACGCCTGGAAGGCCAGGTTTCTTACTCCTCATTGCCCTGTGAGTAAGACCAACCTGTTCCAAGAGAGGTTCAAGGAGAACCGAGAAGAAAGACCAGGTCACCGAAGGTCAGTTCAGCTTAGAGGAAACATCTTATACAATTTCGCAAGTTTGTGATTAATTGCCTTTTTTTTTAGAGCTTGTGCTGGGACCTTGAGCAATGACGAGGAGCTCGTGGAAGCCAAGCTTTAATGGGGATAATGGCCACCCTTTGAGATTCCCTTTCACCCTTCCACCTGTTTCTTGGTTTGACCGCTCGTCGTTTCAACTTTCAACGGACGAAATGAGAAGTACTGACTGGTGGCGTTGGTGCGGACGTAGATGATCTCGCTCTTCGCCCCGTGGACCTGGTGCTCGTCGGAGGCGGACAGCAGGGTCTTGACGAAGATGGCGTACTGGGTCCAGGGCTTCAGAGGATGGATGAGGTGACCGGGCTCCACCTGGTCCCGGCCATCCGACGCACGAGGCGGCGGGTCCACATCAGCAATCACCCAGCTATTGGATCCACACGCGTCCTGCCCATCAAACTCGGTCACGTTGCGATAGGGGCTACAAAAGAACACAGGAAACAAACACCGGCTCAATAAACAGCACCCTCATCCATCTTCTGCAAGCTCTAATTGGTTAGCATGTCAGCTTCGGCTCATGGTGAACCATAGCTTTTCACAGAAAGGCCTGTGATTAAAGGACGTGACTCAATCACAAGGTCTGAAGTGCAGTTCAGGTGAGGCGCTGCACAGCCTACATCTCCTCCTACATGTCTCTGTACATAGTTGACAGTGTTAAAACTTATCCAGCTCGGTACGTAATTAGTGCTGTGGGGCGATTAATGAAAAGCAGACTAACAGTTGCACTCAGGTTAAGTACCGGGCCCTGGTGCTGTGGATGTTAGCAACACCATCATTACAAGGTCTGAGGTGTGGAAGCAGGACACGTAAACATGATATCACCATGCTTATCTAGGTTAGAGAATCAAGGATATCTAAAATGGTGACTAAACAACTCATCCTAAGGAACCTGAGCTGCAGACCTGCTTAGTCTCACACTGATATAGCAACGTCTCATATCAACAAGTTTTGACAAAAACATCATGGCTTATGAGAATGAAATCCTGTGGTGATCATCAGCTGTATCTTACAGGTCTGAGGTCTGTCACCATCACATTGCTAGCAGAGCACTTCACATTATACTCAAAGACAACCCTGTATTACTGTTTTCATGAGGCTTGCACTTCACACAGTCTATAGCAACTTCTATTCAATGTAATTTAGCAAAATATCACCAAAGATTATTTTTTTTATTATTTTAATGTCTCCTCGATGAAAAATGCAAATTCAACTTCAATGACGCTCTACCATTTACAAAACTACTGGCACTAAATGTTTTCAATCTGTTATTCCAGTGGTGAACAGGAATGCTTGAGTGATTAAAGGGAACTGTAAATGAGGTGTTGTGCACAGACCTTATTGAGGGCTGCCTTTAAGAACTTTTCTATGTTCAGTTTATTACATGAATGTTGCACTACTTACGCCTCTTTGTATAAGACCATAAAACCCAGTAGATCTCTGTAATCCGGTGGCCAGAATGGTTCCCATTTAATGATGATCTTATCAGACAACGTTCTTATTTGGGTGAATTTCAGGACCTGGGTTTCACCTGGAAGGAAGGCAGAAACAACACTGCTGTGAAGAAGATGCTCCTTCACAACGTTTGACACTCAAGGTTACAATTACATTTTTAGCTACTGGCATTTCTTTCTTGAGAAGTAACATCATGGAAAGCCAAGATGTGCTGGATAATATCAAATGACACTGAAATAAAGCAGCCTCTGTTCCTCCTGAGCCTGCCACTCACACATCTTCAGTTATACTAGTGACTGGTTAAATGAGGTCTTCACTCTTCCAGGTCAGAAGACGACAGCAAAATGGAAAGATGAAAACAACAGTGCCTGGGCAGACTAAAAACAATCAGCCCTGACATTCCAATATTCCTACTGTGACAGTGGACGCAAAAACCCATTCGTATCTGGTAGCATGACTGCAGGATGCAGACATACATGATGCTTGGTCTCCATTGGTCTTCATGGAGATGTCGTTCTTGATGTCGCGGCCTTTGGTCCCCGTCACTTCCTCCATCTTCCTGATCTCCGACATGCACAGCTTGGAGTTGAAGTGGAAGAACATCCTGCCCTGGAGGATGGTCATGTTGTGCTTGGACCAGTCCCACAGCTGACGCAGGTTCTGGTTGTCCAGCGCATAGAACGAGAAATTCCTGAAAGCAGCAGATGAAATAAATTCAATCCTGCATCCCCGGGAAGAGAACATCCCGTGCTGTGGGAATTCTTCATGAGAGAAACAGGACGCTGTCTTGCGCCGATTCAGTTATGTTGAGCCTCAATAAGTACAGCAACGAGCAATGGATCTGCCCTGCGGAACAAATTCTGCAAGGGTTTCCCTGCTCTCATATATAGTACACAGGGTCAGAAAGAAGTCTGTCACACTCTATTGTCCTGTTTTATGATGTGTTTGTGGGTGTTTGTCCTGTCCTTCCATGGACAAAAATGGGTAACACTTTTGAGTGCTAGGTCCTTAGGTCATTAGGTCCGATTACATCTACTCTTAACACCTTGCAAAGGGAAATTACTTACTGCAGCTGTTAAAGCATGTTAAAGTCTTACTATACCTTTTGGCAAAGGCTATATGAAAAGATCCCAGCAATTACTCTAATATGTTCCACAATGTGGTTCAGTAGTAATACTGTAGTGCTGAAGAGGTGCAACGTATACAGTCCCACTTCAACATGCACTACCTCTTAGAGGGCATTTCGAATTGGAGGCAGTCAAAATCCAGGAGCTTTACACCACTGGCTTCTCAGTCAGGCACAGGTTCCCATAGTCTTAACTCGCATATTGAGCAGAATCACTACTGCAACCACCTCACCAGGAGGTTAAAAGTAACCTGTCCCGCAGTCTACAACCTGACAGCCCTTCTCTGTCTGAATGGCTGCCTTCAGATTCATATCAGTAATATCCCAAACTTAGCGAACCAGGGCTTGCTCATTTCAACATGCATGCTTGGCTTAGTGAAGCAGGGACTGCTTCATGGGTTGAGAAAGCACTTGGAGGAACAGTGCCAGATCACAACCAAAGCCCCTTCGCTGTCAGTGAGCAGGACACCCAAAAGCTTCATGAGAACTGAGACCGTGCTGACAAACCCGTACCCCGACTCCAGAACCTCCCCACGGATCAGCTTGAGCTTGCGCAAGAAGGACAGGGACACGAGCGCGTAGGACCGGCGGATTTTCAGGTAGCCAGTGATCTCCTCCAGTTGCCCCAGGTTGGCTTCCAGCTCGGCCGCAATGTTGTCTGAAGGGGGAACAGAAGAAATGGTTATTAGGAACGAGTTAAAGAATGGAGTGACCAGTCAGCAGCTGGCCTGGTCTGAAGGCAGGTAAACACAAAAGGTCTCAGTCTGAAAGCCTATGGGAACTTCTAATTCTCCCATGGTCAAAGGTCTTTTGTTTCACTTGAGCTACCCAACATTTTATGTTTTTGTGTGGAGCCCAGTGGTTTCCACTACTGCTCCAGATGAGCACCAGTCCAGCATGTTTCAGAGGCAGCCTTTAAATCAATTGTTAAGGGCCGGGAATGAATTTAACCATGGCCAATTAAACAGGTGGTGTGTGTTCAATTAAATAATTTACAGATCACAGGGCACAAAAAACAGAAAATCCTTCAGCCCTCCAAGACCTGTGCTCCCTTCAATGAAACATTACTTAACTGATTAACTGATCAATAGGTTATGTCAGTGCTCCTATTCTTCAAACAGCAAGCGATAAAGAATAACCTGTAAGAATAACTGAACTGGAACTCTCCAGGACCAGGACTGTAAATCCAAGGTTCAATCTCAAAGATAAAGAGCCACTAATCTTCGACACAACTACCTGTGTTGACTAAGACACTTGTTGGCCAAGTTCATGTGTCAGCAGCATTGCTGTTGTCAATCTTCCTAAGGACACTTAAGCAAGTGAGCTCCCAGCTTACTTCCACCACGGATGTTGATCACCAGGCTGCCGTTGAGTATGGTGCACCCACGCAGAGCCTGTGCTGCTGTCACAGAGTCCACAGTCTTCACACCTGTGCACACCTTCGGACACAAGCCGGCACAGGGGGTGCAGTTCAACCTGCAATTAAAGACAATCCAGCCATCAACCAAGGTCTCATTTAACAGCACTTCTTTTCACTGCGATTGGGTTCGCAGAGCACTTTATAAAAACACTCACTGATGCTAGGCAGAGCAACAAAGCTAAGTGAAGGCTTGACATTCAGAAAGCACAAGCTAGTCACATAAAAAGAAACGTGTGGCTTTTCCAATAAAAGTTCCCTTTTCTAATAAAACACAAGAAGCTCTGTGATGCATCAGACAAGACATATGACAAGTGAAACTGTACAGTAACTTCAATAGGATTTAATGTTAACTGGGGGCCAAGGAAATTGATTTGACTACTAACAGATAAATGGGCTGAGCAAAAAAAGGCTTTTTATCTTGTGGGCAGAGTGGAGTAATCAAGGATGATCCCCCTCAACTTCACACATTGCTTGAAATGTACCAGAGAAAAACATAAGAGCTCATTGTTCCCCAACAACATCTTGACCTTCAGAAGCAGACAATCGTCTTGTTTTTCCTTTTGGCTTGTTTTTGTCTTCTTTGAAACCGCACAACACATTCCTTCCCGATAAAGTGCCTGCCTGTCACAGTGCAAATGTTTGTTAAAAAAAACTAAACATAATGGCCATTTTGTCTTTGCCTTAGAAAAAAAAAATTATAGAAATAAAATAGTTTCCTCCTCTGATGCTAGATAAAATAAAAATGCCAAGAATGTTTCTTTGAACCTCACAGGAATGGAATTAATTGTATGACAGGCATACCTCCGTTTTTCACATCATTTGGTAGTGCAGATAAACTATCAGTGAAATGGTTCAGCCTCTGTTGAAATATGCAGCTTTGGTAAAATAACCAAGGGTGAACCGTCTGACGCTGATGTCACAGATTGGCAAAAATACCAAACTAACTTGAGAACACATGGCTTCCTCTCAGAGCTAGCTAGTAGAGCCTAGCTGTACTGACAAAACCCTTCAAGGCAGTGCAAGCTGGCTAGTGTGCATCACATTAGTGATTAAAAGAAAGCACAGCCATTTTTGTTGGCGTCTGGTTCTGCCACATCTCACATCATGTCCCGGGATCAAAGGTCTCAGGAAGCTACTGTTAAGGGCTCCCCTGTCTGACAGTGCAAAAACAGCTTCACTTCCAAAAGCCACCACAGAGGGGCAGGAGCTAGACCTTGTTTATACACTTTGCTCATCACTCCTTATTGAAATCTGCTCAGATGCACAATAAGGAGTTGCAAGCAGGTCGGGTCTAAGATGGAAAGAAAAGTGTTTAAGGACTAGACAGAGCAAAGCAGTCCTTTTGCTTCTGTAATTTTTGAATTCCAGAAAAGAGCTCTGTGTAGCTCTGAATGGGACATGGCACCAAAACAGGTTGCAAAGTTCCCAGTGTTACAGGGTCTCACGACGAATACACCTCTTTTAATCCAATAGAAATATTGCTCGCGACTTTGAAACGACTTAGCCGACAAATGCTCCTTGTTAACTCGGCATGCTGATCACTGAACATTTCCATGGTGAAACGCCTGCTGGACAACTTAGCAGGAAGGGCCACGACACAAACCTTTGCGCTCGCCCATGGCAACACTGCGACCACACAGTACTTTCACGGAGTTCACGATTTTGTGCTTTATTCTGAATTTGTCCAACGTTTCGATACCGTCAATGAATTTATTTCCGTTGCCAAGATTTAAGAACCGGTCTGAGAAATTGGGACGGCAGCTCCTCCCTTTAAGTCAAAGAAGGGTCTGATTGTGTAGCTGAGGGCTCAAACAGGTGTTGGGCTGGGGAGCTCCCGCTCAAGGGGAACAACCATGCAAAAAAGGTAAAGGCCTCGTCTTCCAGGTATCCATTCACAAAACCAGGGAATGAGATAAAAACAAGGCAGCAGACAGTTCATTCATAAACGAGATTTTTTTTATCCTCTCACACAGACAATCCCAAGCCCCGACTCCCTCCACAGTCTCAGCAGCCTGAAGGGAACATATGGGTTTGAAACGCAAGGGAAAAGGGCCTTTGCTGGAAGCTCTATCTAATCCGCCGGCACTGTTCTGGTGATGCGCTCCATTCTGGTCATGTGGCCCAAACTGGGCCGGGGAGGAAGGAGGAGGGGTGGGAGGAGAGGGCGAATGAGAGCCTGAGAGAGCGAGGGAAGGAGGGGGTGCTTTCGTTGTGAAGCTGGGCTTATTGCCGCATGACTGCTTTCCCGAACCACCCGGCGGCGCCGCCGTTGACTCTCGCCCCCAGCTGGACGGAGAAGACGAGCAGGGCGACGTCGAAGGCAGCATTATAGACGCCCGCAACGCCAAGGACCGGGGAGAGAGCCCCAGCGCGCCGGGCGACGCCAGCCCCCTCGATGAGGGGGGACAATGGCATCAGAGCGCACTCTTTCAGCCGCCTATTACCAGGAGACAAAGGCCCCGACCGCGGGCAGACAAAGGCCGCTATTGTTCCCATGTGGCTGTGGTTTCCCAGCACAGCCTCCCATTTGCCGCGTTAATGCTCCGTTTATAAGCGTGCAAATAATAACCACACATGAAGCCTTGCACGAGGGCGCGCGCATCTCAGGGTGCCAGAGGAGGAACAGAAAATCAAAACAGCTCCTGATTGCCTGCCACCTTTAGTGGAACACAGGGCAAAGAAAACTCCAGGAAAACGCAGCGGCTCTCTTCTGATGGTTCTTTGACTTTCTTGGCCACGTCGCAGGGTCAATAAAATTTACCATGAGGCCATTCTTGTATTAAACTCACCTGCCAAGTGTTTGTTTTCACTTGCAGGAACTGGGGCGTTGTTGACACAGACCTGATATTAATATCTGTCACAAACCTGATTTATTGCCCACATGAATACCTGTTACCTGATTTACTGCTCACTTGCCGCACAAAGGAAAGAAGATTTTAGCTCCAAAAATGTTGGGTAGTGAACAATTTCTGCATGAGAAAAACTCCCCCCCTTTTCCCTGAACACTGTGTTTAGCTTGTCAAAAGTCTTGGCAGTTAAGCGTTAAATCCTCAGGTGACGTGAGGAGGTAAAAGAGAGAAAAATACGGGAGCAAAGGTGTTCGCCAACTCTTGACCCAAAAGAAAGATTTGCGGAACCGAAGGGGCAGATTTCCATTCGCTTTGAAGCTGTGAGTACATCTGCAGCTCGGTTCTACAATCTGAGCTTCATCCTGGGATTCAGTCCTGGTAGAGGAAAAAAACTGAACTGAGTGCCTCGACAAAATGTGTCTGGGGGAAAGGAGAGTGAATTCTTTATTGCCGTCTCGGATGCAAGGAGAGGCAAGATGCCACGAAAATGTTTAGAAAGCAGACTTGCGGCCACTGCCAAAGACGTCTCCCAGCAGCTATTAGGAGCAGAGGGCTGTATTCCAACAGAGGTGTCCTGATGCAATGTCTGACAGTCTTATTTATATCGGTCTAGTGTACAAAAATTTCGACAAAAGGTAAAAGATGTCAGAGCTCTTCCCCTATCCCTTGCCCTGACGAGACAGCCTGTGTGATTTGCGCAGCTGCTAATGGAATTTCGCCGTCTTGTTTTCGATAACGAAGACATAAATTACACCAGGAGGGCCCGGATTTCGCAACAAAATGGGAAGATCCGTAGGGCCTGCCTGACGTTGAGAAACGCTCATCTCCTCCTTGCGTGTCTCACTGGCGATCTTCAATGTTCCCTTTAAACCATCTACGGCACGCCTACTCAGTAGTCACTAGCTCATGTTCCAAGACACAAAAAAGAACACGTCCTTGTTTCTGCAATGCAAAACTGAAAATTCTGGTGACCCCTGGCGAGGCAACACGTCGCAGAACCTGTCCGCCTGCTCTGATGCTCTTTACGTACCCTGTACAAAAGCTCACTGTAAACAGACAACAGGAAACGAAAAGGATACAACCCTTACGTGAAGTTATGTAAAGTTACGCAAACAACAATTTTGTTTGCCTGGTACTTAAAATGCAGTTCATCGAGTTTGGTGTACAAACTGCCGGGCGTCTGGAACAACCTGCCCAGCAGTGCTGTCCATGCCAAAGCTCCGCTCAATAAATGGCCGAATGAGATCCTCCAATCAGGTCAGGAGGCACTACTTTACACAACGGGTGGCGAGAGTGTGGAACAAGCTGCCTAGCCATACTGAAGGCGATACCCTGGCTTCTTTTGAGAAATGGCTGACTGAGATCACCTGATCAAACCCTCTTGTTTGCAAACTATCTAATGCACTGCAAAATGCAATGTGCGACACATTGGGAACATATAACATACATTACCAGTGTAAACAGGGTATTACGTGGTAGAATTATGTCGTTTGTAATCCCCATCTATGCCTCCCTGACTTTTTTTTTTAAACAAAACAAACCAACAATTTAAATTTCACTATATGGAGCTTATCAATACCCAGTTTTAATTAGGCTCCTATTAGTTAGTGGTAATCCAATGGAAAAAGAAAAAGAGGTTTCACTTTAAAAATGCACACTGCATTTGCATCTGCTCCCTCTCTTGGTGGTCTCAGCTTACTTTTCATTGCTAGAGACCTTCAAGTAACCAAGCAGGATCTTTGCAGGCAAATGGAAAAACGTTCTTCTGCCATCCTTGTGTCCTGTCTACTTAGTGCAGAGTGCAGAGGACAGTTAACTCATGTGCCCCAAAGGAAACTCAACATCACCCCTGACGAGAGCCTTTCACAGCCTTCTTGACTTCTCACTTGTTTTCGTTTCCTCTGCTGCCCTCTGCTTCAATGAGGTGCTTCGTTTAGTTCGATAACTTCCTGGGAAGATCTCGGGTAAAGCAAGTAGCTTAATCTTTCCTGTTCACACTCGCTTGCACTCATTGACTGAGCGGCTGCTGTGATCCGGCTAACGCTGAACTATTTGGAATTACTGACAAGACGCTCACTGCACGTGATGCGCCAGCTGAGCCTGGTGGTTTTTTCTTCTTTAAATTTTATTACATTTTAAGGTGAGGCTGCGAAGGCATTTTTAATCACCCAAAAAAACAAACTGAGCTTTACAATTCAAAAGACTTCATGTCTGCATGCAATGACTTTTTAAAACTTGAGAACTTGGACAGAGAAACCCCACAAGCCTACTTTTGAGATGAACTTAAGCAACCCTAAACAAAGACCGAATTACGTCCTTGAGACCGATTAGCAAATGTTGTAGCTGTACTTTTTTATTATGTAAATGAAATGGATGATCCTTCGTTAAGCCGATTAAGATTATCGCAAATTTGACAAGCAAATCATTATGCTAATCCAGGCATTTCTCAGTCTGACTGCCAGCCCGTTTCCCTGCATTGGATTCACCATAACATCTTCAATTTCTGAATTCCCTTTTGCGGAGAAGACCAAGAAAAAGTCGCTATTACTATTAATGCATATTAACTATGGCACTGCTGCTGCGCCGTCATCTTAGTGGAGCTACACTCACCAGTACCGCCACCGCGCCGCATTCACTTCATGCAAAATGCTATACTGTTCTCAATTCCACTTGCATGGTTTTATATTCGGTTCATAATACACTGCCTTATCCTGTGTGCAACCTTTGTAAATGACAACTTTGATAAAGGCCTGAGCCAAAAATGACATATGATAAAAAGTCCCAGTGAAAGCAGCTAGAAAACAATATCTGAACATCGTAATTGTATTAAATGTCGATGTGAATCATGGACTCTCTCCTGTGGTGGTATTGGTGCGTGAGCACTGAAAACGTTCACAACTCTAGGAAGAGTGGCGATAATGAGAATATGCTTCAAGGGAGACTTGCTGGATTTCTTATCTCAATACTTTGACACTTTGTGGACTGAACATGAGATTTCAAGCCTTTTCTAAAAGAAGTCAACTCAATTTGAAATTGGAATTTGGAAAAACTAATGGTTTTATAACATTCATATTGTTGACGATTTATTCGCATTTACTTTATTTTTTTTTAAATACAAGGGTGTTCAGACGATTCATAAATCATAATTTGATAGGAGGTGGAACCCTTTGTGATTAAAGAATCCTACCTTATACATCAAGGATGTATATATGCAATCAAAGGCTGATCAAGGGCTTGTGCACACTGTAACACCAACAAGTGTTAATAGATTATTTGTGGAATGGAGAAAGTGATTGATTTAACCAGACAGCACCTCAATTTTCTGGGGGAGGGGGGGTGCATTCTTTTTCTCTCTATCAAACATATCTTACCATGTGCCAGCAAGAGTTACGTTTACACTGAGCAACGATCTCATCGCATGTCTCGGCTCTATTCGGATACCGACTACAGGACCCTCCCGAGCGCCAGCTCGTCTCCTTTCTTCTCTTCCAAGTGGACGCAGGGAGTTTATCCTCATAGATTAATGCCCAAAAGGAGTGACTCGATCAACGCAAGGCCTGCACAGGAGAGGGGCGGAGCACTCACATGGTGGAGTTCATGGTGGTGTACCCGGAGGGGCACTCGGGTATGCACTCTCCATTGTGGATGACGTACTCATCGCAGCCCGTGCCCTGCTTGCACTTGTTGTGCAGGTCCTGGCAGAACTTGAAGGAGACACAGCGCCAGCCCTCAAAGATGTAGGAGCCCGCCGGGCAGTTGTCCACGCACGCCCCCTGGTGGAGGTAGCGCCGGCACGCCACGCACTTGCGGGGGTCGTTCGGCGCCGTGCAGCTGCCCAGGCACTCATCGTGGCAGCACTGGCCTTCCTTGGTGCAGGCGCGGTGCTTGCAACTGGAGGGGCATGCTGGGAGGAAGGAGAGAACAGACAAAAGCAGGTTAAGCGGCCATCTTTACGTGCCCCGTCACGCGAGCTAATTCTGCAGGCGCGGGCAAGGCTGGCCCTCTTGGAGCTGAAACAAAATGGGCTACTCATCACGTGCAATTAACCTCCCTGAGTTAATCGATAGCGCCCCAAGTTCGGAATTGAACCCAGGGCCCCTGCGCCGTGAGGCAGCAATGCTTTCTACTGCGCCACCGTGCGATATAAGGATGTAGCTCATGTAACTGAACTGCTTGTGGGACTGCAGCTGCAGGTTTCTTGCATCGGTATGCGGCAGATGAGATGGTGATCCATAAAGCTAATATGTATATTATATATTTGGCACACATACACACTAATTTGACCAGCAGACGCTCACAGCCCCGAATTAACTCCATCTGGTCACAAGACGCTTGGACTTGATTGGCTTTGCTATAAAGGAAAAAGCTATCTTTTGCAGCAGGTAAAAGAGAAAACATATGTCACCAAGGGTCCTTTGAAGATTGAGATCTGCTCAAAACAGGTTAGCACTCCTTGCTGCGATACTGAAGCTGCAGGCGTGTATTCCAACACCCAGACCCCGTTGAGCCCCAGGAGCTTCGGCACTAGTGCTTTTGTTTACCAGCAGGCAAACGCTTACCTGGTTCACTGCACAAAAATGATATCATACTTCTGCGATTTCTTGCCAGATTTTAAACGCACTGCCTGAAATGTGCCCACCACCCTGGCCACCTGAACAGGACAGCCATAACCTACTGTGGGAACCTCCAATTGTCCAGATCACAAATCGGACATCACAATTTGACAACCCTTACACACACACACACACACACACTTTCCTGACACTCTCCAAATGAATGAAGCTTGTAAGGATGATACGGCAATCGTTACAAGGCAGTGTTGTGAAAAAGGTTTTATGGTGTGGAACTTCAAGACGGGGCCAGAAGCTCAGAGTGATAAAATATCCCTGTGTGTCTTGTCAAAAAAAATAATAATCCCACCATAGTTGGGTCCCTAAATAGCACTGTTTGAAGAAGCCATTTTTATAGATTGCTCACTCGTCATCAATGCGTCATTAAATGGCACACAGCAACAACAATGAAGACCTAAAGAGTCAGAGCGATGCATCTTTATAGTAAGGGAACAAGTAATAGGTTTATTCCATGCTGAAAAAAAGAAAGAAAGAAAGAAAACACAGGTGTTCTTCACATCTGGTGTTCAGGTGTTCTTCACACCTGAAGAAGGCTCCACGGCAGAAACGTTGCGTTTTCTTTATTTCAGCATGGAATAAACCTATTACTTGTTCCTTTGCAGCCTACGCATGCTGACGCAGCTCCCCACCTGAACTATCTTTATCGTAAGACACCTTATCTACAACTGCAAGTTCCATCTCCTTCACCACAGAACGCTTGCTGGCAACGTGGAGAGGAAGGAAAAGAAAAATATTTTCGACTGACTGCTGAGCTCAGGTTTCTCTGTAGGAAGAGAAATGCCCTATAGAGAGGCAGAGGGGGACAGAAAAGAAACACAGCTCTTAAACCATCCGAGAGGTTAACCCTTCGATGAGTGGGGTGAGGAGAAGTCCGAACAGACCAGAGCAAACAAAAAAAACAACAGAGATGCACAGTGAAGTCGCCGTCATTGGCGGGACCATGCTACCTGGCTACATGAAACACTCTCACACTGAGCAGAGCACTGAGGCCCAACGGTGAAGTCAAACTCAGGGCTGAGTATGGAGGTGTAAGTAATCAAGACCCGAATGGATGGCTGCCTGATTTGTAAAGTTACACAGGAAGGTGTGTGGGGAAATATGCAAAAGCCTGTCCTGGGACTGTACGTGCGCAACTGATTTGAAAGTCCGAGACCTTGGAGCAGGAGACCGCGCTCACAGTTCAGTGACAGATCTGTTCAGCTTCGTTAGTGTCATGAAAGCCTTCAGTCATGTGACGTGAGGTCAGCCCCTGCAGGAGCAAAACAACATGGACCCCTCTCTCCCTCTCGCCCAGAGCTGAGGACGGCCGTCCCACTGCCTGTCTGCAAATCACAGGGAGCCGGGGAGGAAGGGGGCTGAGTGGGTGTTAGCTTAAAGGAGGAGGGGGAGAAAGAGGGAAAGAGGGACAGGGTGGGGAAAGCCCATAAACAAATACAAAGAGACCACAACTCGCACATCAGGACAAGAGTTCATGAAAAGGTCCCGTGTGTTCTGTCTGGGAGCTGTTTTGTCTTCTTTTTTTCTCCCTCTTTCTCTTTTTTACCACACTAACAAAATGCCACATGCTTCCCAGCCTTTTCTCCAGGCAAGGCTGTCTGCAAGCTGTGACCAGTCACTTGGGCTCCAGATCCCTGGAAAACTCCAGGCCAGATCACAGCGCTGACAGGAGCGCCGCCCTCACCCTTAACCAATGTATTTGCTGGCTGTGGAAGGCAGCCCATTCAATGGCTTCTTCCATCTCAGCATTGGAAAAAAAACAGCCCGACGTTAACCCTTGCCGGCGTGGGGCCTGTCTTTGTAAAACAGCCAGGGAGCAGACAGCGGCAGCAGTAGCACGTTACAAGAATAAATGAAGGCAAAAACTGCTCGGATAGTAGGAACCTGAGCTCAAATCACCCCCCCCCCCTCCAAAACACACAACACACACGGAGTCACACTGTCTACAGGAAAAAACACTGCAAGAGTTAAGTGAAAGGATTATCTTGATCTCCCTGCTAATTTGTTTTCCCTGTGTAAAGTGGTTACAAACTGTAACAAAAAAACACCTATCGCTGACTGTCGGGAATTTTTCTTTTTAATCTGTAAGAAAACTCCTTCTCAATCCTGTTAATATCTTCTACAACAACAACTCCATTAGCCACCCCCACATCACTTTCTTTAATTAAAGGGATTTAGCAAACCGCTGGACTGTTTCTTGGAAGCACATAACCTTTTTGCCAAGTTCAGTGATAGGGATGTTTCGCTTAATTAAATACTGGAAAATGTATTTCACCAGCACTTTTCCTATAAGCTGTTTATGCAACACTAAACCACTCCTCTAAAGGTTAGTGCTCTGTGAGCAGCAACATTACACTATTATTTTATCAACATCCTTTGCGTCTGCAAAAACCTGCGCTTTTTTTGTTTTGGAAAATACTGCACAGAAATTTCTGATTACAGCAAACGTATTAATTTAGCTGATACTTTTATCCAAAGTGAAATATCACCTGTGAGTTGAACCCTCAACCTTCCACTTACAGGTCCAGAGCTCTCGCCTCTGTCACATTGCTGCCCAACTACACAACAGGTATTAGAGCCAGTTCAACACAACCGCCATACTGATCCGTTTACACTTGACCATTAAAGATAGAACCCACGGTTTTATTTCCACAAAGAAAAGATAAATGGATCCCAACACTACACTAGGGTCTCCTCAAAAATGGAGAAGTGCTGACCGTTGCAAGTTAGAAGAAAAAGAATAGATCAAAGGATAAAACACCGTATTCGAAATGCACAGTCATCCAAAAAGGGCACAGAAAGGAATGATGAAGATAAACCCAGCCCGATCAGCTGCTTGAGATGTGCCAGCTCAGCCCTTCTCCCCAGAAAGGAGGCAGCGAAGGCCTGCCGGCCAGAAGGAGACTCGTGCAAGAAAGGCGCGCCTGTCGATATGACAGGTGACACTGCGTCATTTGCTGCAGCCCAGGCAGTATGAACACTTTCCTTCCAAATGAACACCAGGCCCTGCATGATGGCGCCAAAGTGAGAAGCTATCAGATAATGCTGGAGTGCTTACAGTAGTCCATGGCCTGCATCATGCACATATCATCCCTCAAATACAGAACACTGCTTATGTCAGACTGTGTGAGTGTAGTCTACGAATGACTCTCTACAGTATTATATATATATAACTATTTGCACAAAACATTGCACCATGCTTGAATTAATTTTCACAACCAGATTAGCTCACTGTCCTGCTAGATTCAGCAAGGAACCTTAAAGAGCCCTTTTTGGATGCTTTCTTCGGAGAGTCTTCCAGGCTGTACGTGAAGGGGGTACCTGAGGAGATGCATGCTTCACTCCACAGCACACTGCAAGCCCCTCCAAGAGAGCTTCAAAGCCGCGAATCCCACAACAGCAGTTGACAATATTTCCATGAACGGATCACGCCATCAGGGGGGCTGATTAATAATCAAGAGCCAATAAACAAAGCTTCTGAATCTCAGCCAAGTCCGCACGGACGGGTGTCCCTTCGCTGCTCTCCACAGGACAGCTGTGGACAGATGTTGCAATGGGCAGCCAATGAGAACTAGGCACTGGAGCCAATTTATGGGGCTATGGACAATTCTGACTCTCTGGAGGTGGCATTTGTGTGTGTGCATGACATGCATGGCACAGAGAACTGGGGTTCACAGGGGACCTAATCCAAAAATCCACCCCCATCTTTGTCTTTTTAAAATCCTGGATCTATCAAACCCCTGTGACCTGAGCCTCACCCCTCAAGCTGAAGCGACTGCCATCATTAACGGAAGAAATAATAAGAAAAAACACGTAGGAAAAACAAAACAGCCATTCATTAACCCAGTGGCATTGTCTGGCGTTGTATATACAATAACAAGAAGTTGGCTCAGAGCACTCCATAATACTATTTTTATAAATGAGTGAGAAAAAACATGAAAAGCCAGGAAAAGCAGAAATGAAGAGGCGCTAGACACTGGCGATGTTCAAGTCATAGTTAGAGCTGCGAGATGCTGCAAAAGGCAAAAGCGTCTTGTTTTTCTCTTCGGCCATTCTCACCTTGGGTGCCCTCAATTATTTTCAACGGTTTCCCACAACGTCTCACTCCCGGTTTTAAAACGCTAATGAGGAGCAAACTGGCATGAGAGCAGGAGTCATGTGGAACGTGCAGGTGAGTGTTATGGAAACAGGCGTACCCACTTACTTCGGAGGGATTCCCATACTCAAAACGTTTGAGGGAGCAGGGAGCAACCTAGCATGGAAAATTAACGATACG